GAACTTCTCGTGATGATATTAAATATCGATCTAACATAGCTAAACAAACACATGTTAATGATGTTAAATCAAATGTATGTAATATAAAATAACGTAATTTACATAGAAGAAATGCATTACTTTCTTTTACATGATATTTATAACCATCGAGTAGAATTCGAGTTGATAATGGATAAATAATAACAATTAAATTTGCTATTGAAGAACCAAGTAAATATAATGAACTATTACTTGTACGACAACAATAAGAATATTTCGGTTTTTTTTTCGAACGACACCATTTTGTAAAAACACAAATGTTTAAAATATTTCCAATTATACCAAATACATACATTAGAATACCAGCAACTATCATCAATCTACGTGAAAAAACTTCGACTTCCTTCATTTTATGGAAAATAATATTGTACTTACAAGAAAAAAATGGTCTCTTTTATAACTATATATATACGCTAAATTTAATTAAAAAAAAAGAAATACACCACTAGGAAAAAAGAAAAAAAATGTTTCATTATGCAATTGCCTGGGAAAAGAATTGTTTTCTCAAAGAATACATCATGTGCATGATAATGCAATAGAGCAATGAACATTTGAGGCTATAATTAATATTATCATATATTCTTCTTTTTTTGAATATTTTATTTAAGTGCGTTGTCACTACGATCAATCGAAATTTGATACTTCGAATCAAAGATGACACGGAATTTTTTAAGAAAATGAAAAAGAAAAGAATCTGTTTAACAAAAATAGTCATTTCATCAATATAATATCATTTTCTGAAAAAAGCTCTTATCTCATTTTTCTAACACTATATTGAGGAAATACCCGTAGGTATTATATTTTTTTCTAAGATTATAAATAACTATAAACCTTATAAAGATATATCATCATTTTATATTAATTAATCAATATAATTCTACTAAAATATATGATTACGATTCTCTACAAATTTCAGTCTTCATTCGAAATTATTCTATTATTAACAATCAGAAAAATTCTTCATAGACTAAATAATATTGCTTTTAATTTGATTGTTCTAAAAATGATATGTAAGTTGTCTACTGTTCTCTTCAACATTCTCACTGTTGAGTAAAATTTGTTCGATTTTTTACTCGCTAACCATTGTTCTTTTTCCTATGAGTGGAATTTTGTGAGGAAATTTATTTTATCATTGATTTTATCAAAAGAAAAAGAAAAACATAAGCATATTAACATTGTGTTTGATAATTTAACAAAATTCTTATATATAATTATGTATTCTATTCATAAAAAGATTTTAGATATAGAGTGTTGTAATTTGAGATTGATCTTTTTTTTTATTTAATTTGGATAAGTATGTTAATTATTAAATGGGAAATACAGTTTATAGGTTATTTTGCTTTCTTATTAATTATCATTGGATGTTCAGGCCCTCAGATAAATGTTGGTTTTCTATCTGAGCTATTACAATTCTTTGATTATTCAGTTCAATGGATCATTAGCGATCAACTATGATCCTTGACGTCAACTGTATTTTTTCATCAAAAAAGGTAGAACATAAAATGACAGATTTTTTTGTCCTATGTTCAAACTATCAGTCAACGGATACAACGAAGCATCAATCTGAGCTATTCGATGGATTTTGTACAATTGAAAAATGTTTATCCATCGATCTATTAGAGATGTTAGTGCACTTGGATAGTTTATCTACGATGGATAAAATTCATAGAATTCTAAGTGATGCATATTTCAATCTCTCCAAATTTTTTTTAAATTCGAAAAAATTTGTGTTTTCTGCAAAGCTTCATTTTCAAGCCGTCAATACCTTATCGGATATTTTTGTAGAGCGGAAGATTCTAACATATGTAAACCTCTCGATACATTAGAAAATTCGATATCTTCTGTCCTATCTTATCGTTCATAAGTTACAAGAGTGACCTTCTATTAAGTCCTTAGAAAGAAAGTCATGTTTTTTTTTTTGGTAGTCTCGCCAACAATTCTTAGTTTCAATAGATTTTTATCCAATATATCGTTAGTAAACGAGTTTGTTTCACTTATTCTATACGCATAGAATGAGAAAACAGCAGATAATATCCTGTGAAATAAAAGGAAGACAATCGTTAATAAGAAGAACGTTCTTAGAAAAATATAGGCAACATTCCCTAACAATCTTGGTACAATATCTAATAGTATTCTTTTTTTCTAAAGAATAAGATCTGTCATTGGCAACATTCAACCTTCTCAACAACTACATAAGTGAAAAAAAGAAAATCAGATTTTTTTTTTCTTAAACTTCTTTCAGTCAGTTACTTATTTTGAGATTTGAATAGTATAGATGGAATTCGTTTACAGTGAAATGTACTACTAGCGTATTTATTAGTCTCAAGCTAACTTCAATGAGTATAATTATTTGCGAACACATATTTAAAAAAAACCAGCCGTTGAATGCATATTCAATGATCTTTTTTTGTGTATGTTTTGAAAAATGCCTTTAGATCTTTTTGCGACAAGAATTACGCTCTCAGGATCAGAAGGAATACTTTATGAAACTTACCTCGATGTGCATACCTGAAGATATGCTTCCTTCAATTATGAATGCGTGGTTTTGTGATAAAAAAAAAAGTTTCTGAATTTCTTGAGGAAAGTATAAAGGCAAAAAGACCTTTTAATTAATAGACAACGAGATTTTACTGAATATACTTCTATTTTGAGAAAGATCTCTT